CTAACCTACGTTTTACCTAGACTGCAGAGAGCACGCATGTGTCCAGCTCTGAACATGTCGTTCGGCGTGTTTTGTGTTAATACTTACTAATATTTAGTCACTCTAACACATTTGATTGGAAACTGGCACAGAAAGCGTTCTATCCCAACGCACTATAACTTTGTTGTTTTGTTCATTTACAATAGGACACTTGTGTTGCTTTGCAAGCGTTGGCAGAATTCGCTGGGAAAGCTTATGGAAACAACGTTGACTTCAGATCAAGTATATTGACGGGATCATTAAAGATGGGCAATTATTACAACCATAATTTCTCGATAACGACGGATAATAAATTGGTTTTACAAACTGTCGAGCTTCCTGCTAAGGTCATTCCAGGCAAACTGCTAGTGTCTGGGCAAGGTGTTGGATGTGCACTAGTACAGGTAAAGCAAAGACGCATCAGAAACGGTATCCGGCCTTCATACAACCATAGATTAAGTATGGACAAATGTGTAACTTCAGTAAAAAGTTGTCCCACGGACGCCATTGTCGTTACTTTAAAAAATGCTTTCAACACCTTTTCTACAACTTTAATTGCTTTCAACAACTTTAAACATTCAACAAATGATGCTCTTGATTGTTTCATCCATAAATTTCGATCCAAAAAGGCCGCAATAAAATGCAGTGACACATCTGGTATATACTTAATCTGTGGTACAACCGACCCCAGCAGAGTTACTGTACGTTTTACTGATAGACTTATGTTGACCTCCTACCTCTAGGCGTCAGTAAAATACAATATTCCCGACCCCGAAGATGTTCCAGTATTTGATATCAATGTTAATGTCCGTACGAGACGATCCGCTCCTGAAGAAGAAACCACACCATGTAGTCCACTCAGACTGGACATCACCACAAAGTAAGAAATGAGTCTCAACGTGTTTTCATAACTTACTTTGTTTGTTTGTTTGTTTGTTTGTTTGTTTGTTTGTATGTATGTTTGTTTGTTTGTTTGTTTGTTTGTTTGTTTGTTTGTTTGTTTGTTTGTTTGTTTGTTTGTTTGTTTGTTTGTTTGTTTGTTTGTTTGTTTGTTTGTTTGTTTGTTTGTTTGTTTGTTTGTTTATCTGTTAGTATGTGTAATTGTGATGCTCTCTCAAATTTTCAACTTTTAACAATATTTTCGGAAAATTTTCTGTCCGCGGAAATTTTTCTTGAGTGGAAATGGGCCTTTATTCCCCAGTCACAGAATCTAGGTGTCACATCAACCTCGTTCCCAGGCTTTTCCCACTTAGAGGAAATTGAAAAGCCTGGGAAAGAGGTTGGATGTCACATATGCTTTGTTCCCTGGAAACCCCTTTATATATAGTTCTGATGACAATTTATTTAAGGTGGCTCAAAGAAGATGTTTCCAACATGGCAGTCGTGGATATCAAACTGGTGACAGGATTCAGCGTGAGAGAAGAATCTCTGGAAGAGGTAGGATTCAACGATTGAGAACTCGTCTAGAGACAAGTGCATCATCAGAAGTAAAAACAAATTATTTTCATCTGCTGTAGTTGAGAAATGATCCAGACTTGAACTTCAAACGATATGACATTGATGGACAGAATGTGCAGCTCTATTTTGATGAGGTATGAAAAAGTTCACATCGATTGCACGCGAAGAGTGCTTCTAGTTTTTACTCCACGGAACACCGCAGGGATGTTTTCACTGGACTCAGAACGGCAGTAAGGCATGGACCTCATTGGACCTCTAGCAAGAACAAATCACAACTGATAGAACTACCCAGTGTAAATAAAGTTTAGGTTTCCTCCTGTAGTAACACTGGATCAATAAGAGATAACACTTAGAGATGACCACTCTAGGAAGAACAGTTTGGAGCTGATAGAGCTATCCAGTAGAACTAAAGGTAGTTTAGTTTAGGTTTAATGGATCAAAAAAAGTTGTTCTTGACTGGAACTCTAGGAAGAAGTAGAGTTTGGAACAGATAGACCAGTGCAATATGATTAGCCTCTCGCTTACAAAGTGTAATTAATGCTTTTAATGTGTTCAGATCAAGGACATGACTTTCTCAATCGACATTCATCAAGACACCCTAGTGAAGAAACTTAAGCCTGCCGTCGTCAAGGTCTACGATTATTACGAACCTGGTAAGAATCCTGGGAGGACGGGCGGATACGCCTCCTTACTTTTTGGATATTCCTGATATGATAAATCACGTTCTGTTGACTCCGTTGGCCTGCTCCGCCCCCCTTTTTGAAATAGTTTTCGCTCTTGCCAGAAAATAGATTTTTATGCTAGGATTTTCGGCAGACTTACAGTGTTACTGTAAAGTAACTCTGGAAGCAGCAACTGATGACAAATCATTCATTCAATTTCTTATTGACTTCTAGAAAGCCAAGCAAAAGTGATGTACAGAATTGGAGAGGCGGAATGCTACGGAAATAAGAGTAAGTTTATTTATCTCTGACAGACAATTACGCCCAAATTTTGGATATAACTGCCTTGAATTTTATAATTCCCATTGAATGACCTCATTTTTGTCTCATTTTTTCTTCAGTACACACCGAGTGTCCAAGATGTATGACTTTACAAGATATGGACGCGTTCATCAAAGCCACAGTCGTTTGTAACAGTACCGGTAAGTAAAGCTCGATTTCTAGAACCAGAATTTAGAGATAAATATTGAGTTAAATTTTCGTTCGAAAATTGAACGAAAATTTCATCTACAAAGACAAGTATCCATCTACATTCATCCTCGTCCCCAGGGACTCTGGCCGCGCGCGTCCTCCCTAATTTTCAACGAGTGACCGAGTGAAAATGGCTCAGGGGACGAGAATGATTTGCATTAAGAAATAATTACCAGTGCTTATGGACCTTTTTTATTTTCAACATTCTCAGTGACCCGTATGAAGTCATCGAAAGGAATGCTGAAAATCGTGAAAACATTCTCCGATGATGCCATAAAGGAGAAAAAACGTATTTTGAAAAAAGAATTGGAGTACCAAATCCCAGAGTTTTGTCCTTGCGAAGAAATATACAACAAACAGCGAGCAATTGTGATTGGCCAAAACAGCTACTTCAAAGTGGACGGACCTAAAACAACGGTCGTGCTGAATTCTGGGACAACCATTTTGAAATACACAGGCAAATCCATGAAACCTCAAATTAAAAAGATTAAGAAACAACTCAATCGTTGCAGACGTAAAGGAAAAAAATAAATTGGCCAGGACAATGCAGACGTATTATAGTAAAGGAAAAACATAAAGTAAACACAATTATAAACATTTAAGTTGACATTTGTTATCTATAGTTGTTTGTTATTTTGTTGCACAAACCACAAACACTGTAACCTTGTTTTGATTAAAATTCCTATTTTTGGCATCCCCTTCACATGTGGTTGTTTAATAGTGTTTTGTGAGAAAATACCAGTGGTAAAGGTAGACATAACAACAGCTAATGCCATAGCAGTCCAAAATGCGTGTAGAATGCACTAAATGACAAGGAATTTTTTAATACCATGGAATTGTGGGGCATTTGCTCCACTGGGCCCCTTTCTCTGCCCCACCACTGAAGAAAAAAATGGCCTACTGCCCCAAAGTCACGGCCCTAGGACCTGTATTGAAGCGGTAAAGTGGTAGAAACTACAGACGTCAAATAAGTAATGGTTCGATTCTCGCCGAAGAAATTTTTTTTATTTTAGCACCAAGAAATATTTGGAAATTAATTCATTTTTTTCTCCAAAAATATTTTCTCAGGATGAAAGCAAACGGTATATTCCTACTTACTTTACCCAAAAGAACACATACAAGCTATTTACACCGAATTTAAAGCCCGGTGAAATCCGGTGCAATCAGCTCGTGCCTTATTTAAAATGCTGCTCCGACCCACTAGTATAGTTCAGCTCTATATGCTGATAATTTAAATTCCGATGGAATCGGGTGGAAATGGAGAAAATTTTACACAAGGCACCGGCTCATTTCATCGAAATTCATCGGCCTTTAAATCGTCTACAAATAATTTAAATGTGTTCATTAGGGAAAAATAAGTAGGAATCTACCGTTGGCTTTCGTCTTGTGTGAATATTTAAGAAGAAAAAGCATAAAAATATTTCAAAGTATTGTCACCGAATAAAGGATTGAGATCACTACTCACTAGTTCAGCTATGATCAATTCGCTATGTTCATGAACACGTGGTACTGTGGTAGAAACTACAGACGTCAAATGAGTAATGGTTCGATTCTCGCCGAAGAAATTTTTTATATTTTAGCACCAAGACTGAATATTTGGAAATTAATTCTTTTTTTTTCTCCAAAAATATTTTCTCAGGATGAAAGCAAACGGTATATTCCTACTTACTTTACCCAAAAGAACACATACAAGCTATTTACACCGAATTTAAAGCCCGGTGAAATCAGCTCGTGCCCTATTTAAAATGCTGCTCCGACCCACTAGTATATAGTTCAGCTCTTTATAGATGATTTAAAGCCCGATGGAATCGGGTGCAAATGAAGAAAATTTCACACAAGGCACCGGCTCATTTCACCGGCCTTTAAATCGTCCACAAATAGTTTAAATGTGTTTATTAGGGGAAAATAAGTATGAATATACCGTTGGCTTACGTCGTGGGTGAATATTTATGGATAAAAAGCATAAAAATATTTCAAAATATTGTCACCGAATAAAGGATTGAGATCACTAGTTCAGCTATGATCAATTCGCTATAAGTTTAACATTGTATAGAAGTTTATCTTGTGTTTGAATGTTTAGCATGCAATTTATTACAAATTTCGCTGTTAAAACTTCGTTTTGAGAAGCTGAGATTTTTTTTTGAATGAGGCCCAAATTTTAAAAATTTCCTGGGAGGGGTATGCTCCCAGACCCCCATATAGCTAACTTGTGTCTGCAGGCTCGGCTCACACCTTCGGCGATCGCATATACTATCTTGCTTGAAGGGAGGGCAAGGAAATGAGCCCTTTGGCAGTTTTGCCCCACCACTGAAGAATCTTTAAAAATGCACTGCTAAATTAACCAAATGCCAATTTAGAAATAAGCTCGCCCCATTCCTCTGTCATTTGTCGCGCGCCGCAAGCACTCGATGAAAAGCATAGTGTATGTGGCACACGACAAATGAGAGAGGAATGGGGCGAGTTTATTTATAAATTGACATTTGGTTCATTTTACACGCACTTTTGGGCTGCTATGGTACAAACGCCAAAGATCCCACCAACCATTTCCTGGAAAGCGTCTCTGATACAATCAAGAAAAGGATTTTGCTTGCCGGTTTCTAGAATGCAAAATTCACAACCAAGCCAAGCCAAGCATGCAAGGCATGTTATTATACAGCTGCATATCTAATCGAACAAGATGAAATCAGATTTTGCTGCAAGTTGCAGCAATTTTGTTGCCCGTATTACTCCAGCTTAAATTCCGCCGTAATTTACTCAGGCGGTGTATTTTAGCGAAATATTTCAAACCAGCGAGGAGTTGCCATACTGAAGTTTCAAAGAGTTCGGACAGCTGTTGTCGAAACTCCCGTGGGACATTGTTTGTTCGTTTCTTTTCAACGACGGCTAGTCGGCTAGTCGCCGTCTCCATTTGCAGGTATTGCAGCTAAAAAACCGAACTATATTTCTTCTGTGTGAAAAGCTGACAAGTTTCACTTTGAAACAAGTAAATTGCTAAGTTCTTTGTATGTTTGCATGGCGATAAAATCTAATTGTTTTTGTTTGTGGAGACACCACGTAAATTTATTACTGCAAAGCTTTTGATCCGTAAGCCCGGATCTTCATCAGTGAATATTATTAGCACTGTCTGACTGTCTGTCGTCAGTACAGTAATAAATTTACGTGGTGTTTCCACAAACAAAAACAATTGCTATTGAAAAAGCTGTCAATTTACCGACAGTAACAAATAAAACTATGTCTATGATTCTACATTTTGCATAAGCACATGGTCAAACTTCGTTAAAATTTCGCTTTTTTTCGTCGTTAAAATTTCGGGGGGGTTTCACATTGAAACAGTTATAATTGTTATTGAAAAAGCCGTCAATTTGCCGCCGTAACAGACTATTTAACAGTAACAAATAAAACTATGTCTATGATTCTACATTTTGCATAAGCACATGGTCAAACTTCGCCTTATTTTCGTTAAAATTTCGCTTTTTAAATCACTTTTAACAAATATCATAGTACATCACTTACGTCTGCTGTTGTGGAGTGTGTTTTTCAGACGAATTAGCCATTATTTGACGAGAAATTGCACCAAATTCTTCAGCAATTTAAATCCTTGCAGTTCCGTGTCAACTTATCTTATATCTTGAATTTTAAATGAGACGTTTAGGCGGGAAAATTTGTAGCCAATCACAACTCAGGATCCGTCCAGGACTCTAATGCAGCCTGATCTCAACTGTTGAACTGGATTGAAAGATGGTACCAGTATTACCGGTATGAACCGGTACGAGTAGTTGTGTTATAAAGTGGACTAATAGTTTTGCTCGCTTATATTTCTTATGAATTATATACAAATCACAGTATAATTAATACACTCCTGTCCGGGTTTATTTACTGAAATATAGTAGTCTTGTTTTTCAGTATTTGGAGGCAAACCAATAGAATGGACAATTTGCAGGTTAGACTAAATTTTAATCTAAGTAAAGAGAAGGGAATCAAACATCACAGCTATAAAAAGAACATAATGAAATTAGTAAAATTGTAAAATTTGGTTGCGAAATGTTGTAAAAGCTTCGAAAATATAGTTAGCAAATTTCGTAATTTCCGGCTCAAAAATGGTAACAATTTCCGCATGTAATAAAAACAGAACAAAATATGCAAACTTCCCAAGGCTATATTTTCCGTACTTTACAACATTTCGTAACCAAATTTTAATAAATTCTTTTCGGGAATTTACTTTATTTGCCTAGATCAAAAATTAGTCTAACATGCCAAATTGTCTATTGTGGGATGTGGTTTAAGATATCTCAAACCCGACTAACGTGGTGGTCCAGTTATAATCATTATAAATCGATTTACAGTTGAATATTTGAAAAGTTATTTTCACATGGCTTAGATTTTTCACGTTGTTTATAAAATAGTACTACAAAATGGCAGATTTAGACCTGCGTGAGAAATGCTAATTGGAAGCAATTCAATAAACTGGCTTGCCAACAGGATGATTTGTCTTCACTAAATTAAAATTCCACGCATTGAGGAAATCTTGTACGAAATGAAAGTGAAGTGCATTTCAAATCACGCACAGACATTGTGTCATAAACCCTGATCTGATAGGTTAACACAGATTACGCCCATGTACTTAACAAAGACCGACATCCGGAATTAAACTAATTAAAAGTTCCTTGAATTTCGCTTTAAATATATAAATTTGACATTCAGCTACTTCCCAGTTACATGCCAACCTCGTTCGTGTTCTGTGTCAAAATGTCCAGACATCTTGCGCTTATTTTGCTGGCCGCTGCTTTAAGCAGGTATGTATGTACAATTTTCTTGATATAGCACATAGATTGATTTAAGTTCTATTTATCTAGATCTATACTGAGTATTGCGCTTCATTTGCATAGTTTGCGCAAGATTTGCTGCGCAATTAAGAATTACATGCAAAGATTCAAAGATTCAACTGCGCACAACATGATTATGCTTTAAACTATACCAGGATTTGAGGACGAATTGTACAGCTTGTGCTTGTGTGGGAAAGTTGATATATCAATGATAATGTTACGACCAAATTGCGTATGAAATTTGTATTTATTTGACAGTTGACACAAAACCCAAAATCGCTCATGCGCAACATGTTGTTGCGTGTCAGTACGTGTTCTATTGTATTACGGCGCTCTTTTACATTATTTGATAATTTCTAAAATCCATTTTAGGCTATAAATGCGCAAACTAGCACATGCACATTCACTTCTAAAGTATTTGTGTATGGCGTTCTACATTATTCAAAACAAGTAAAACAATTTGAATTGTGTAACTTTATATGCTTGCCATTATTTGCAGTTTGGACGTCAATTTATCTCTACGTTCTATTAACTGTGGTTTGATTGCGCACCATCATAATAAGCAGTTTCTATTGTGGGATTCATGTTTCAATAATGGATAAATCAGATTATGGTTATTGTTTTTAACTAAATTTACTTGTCAGTGGTGTTTGGAAATATGATTCGATGCATGTAATCTCGCCACAGGCAATAACGGCAAGGTGGTTAAAATAAACATAACATAAACATGCAATGGTTGCCAATTTCGCCATAAACAACGGCGTGAACAGCCACAGTTTATTATATTTGCATTGCGGATACCTCTTCAATGCGGAAATTAAATTTGATCTCACGAATGTTTGCACTGTAGCTAGATTAGAACACTCTAGTTAAATTGCTAAAGGTTTTCAAATAAAAGAACGTTTTCTGATAAGCCTTGAAACCTCTTCGACTTAGTTATATATAGGAAATGTATCACTATGAAATTTGGGAAATATATCAATATAAAATCTGAGAAATATATCACTATGAAATCTATTTCTTATATATCTATCGGAGCTATTTGTTTTATAACATATATAACTTTCATTTTAGGCCACCGTACGACACGCCTTGGGTTTAGACTTGACCGGTAGTTAAATTTGCGAAAATATTTTTATACAAAATATAATAATGCTTCTTAACCAAATTCTAGTAAATGGCCAGAAGTTCGAGAGGGTGCAAGGTTAGGACAAAATGCCAAAGTAATCTCTCAATAAGATGGCGCAGAGCGTAGCGGCATACTTACAGGTATCAGGATTTATGCTAAAACGGATTTTAACGTTTTGACAGGATTAGTGGGGGAAAACAAAAGAATTATATTTTATTATCTGCGGAAATTTCATTCCAGTATATTCTAATTGCATTCCATATTTCCATAAATTGCGCAAGCTATAGAAGTATCGATTCGATCAATACATTTCATCAATACTTTTCACACCAGGTGGTGAATTGATGTAGAACCTTTGTTTACACAAACTATATTAAATGTTTACTTAACACATACCTGAAGAACAATTACGTTTTCCAATGACTTCCCAATATCAAATTGTCGCAGATGTAATCTTGAAAGAATTGCAGGAGTTTGATTATGGGGTGTTAACTCAATACAATCATCTATAAAAATAAATTTAATGGCTCTAATTTCCAATGAATTACTTTATCACATGAAGTGCTAAGGAGTTGGTTTTTAATTGCTTTAACAGTTGTTCGATGGTAAGCTGTAAAACATGGAATCTGGAATCTTGGAATCCTGGAATCTTGGAATCCTGGAATCTTATCATATAACCACAGAATATGTTATTATCAAGATATTATTATTATTCTTATGCAACATATTGTTCTGCATGCGATAATTTAATACTTAGCTACAGAAGCAGACCTT